ATTGATCGAATCTCCTTAAAATTGTTGGAGAAAATGAAATAAAATAATAATTTTATTTTAAAGAGATAAAATGATGAATAATGAAGATTGCACGAAAACTAAAAAGACTGAGGCACGGATATCTCGTTTTCTTCAAGGAGATTCGAACGCTCTATGGGCGACTGCAAACTTAAAAAACCAATGTATTAGAAAAACACTTTAACTCGTCCCCTCTAGGATACACAACCCAACAGTCTCGTGTTTGGTTGATAACTTTACACAAATTTTTCAACCCAAACTCCTCCAAAGGAACACCTTTCTCTAACTAATATTTTTCTCTCAATAGAATGAATGAAGATAGAATAAAAAGTGTGTGATGAATGAATATAAGAGACATTTATATACAACTCTTCCCGCACTCCACCTTTTCTATTCATAACTCACCCTTTAATTCAATTAAAATCACCATAACCACCTCCAATTCAAGACTTGACTTCCATTATCTTTAATCTTCCAACCTTCCAATATATAAATAAAAAAATAAAATGCAAGTTTTAATAGATATTAAGTCTGCCTGAATATCATGATTAGTGAAGGTTATTTGTTCCGCTAATCCATTGCGTTAGCCATGAGGTCCCATCGGCAAGAAATGAGAGGAGGGAAAGGAAAGTCATGAAAGAAACAAGTGTTGGCTTGATTTTTCACACTATCAGCGTGAAATCTCTGCCTTGGCGTGAACAATTCATAGTTGCATAAAACTTCACAGTTCACACCAACTCTCGGGTTTCCCAATACGTATTTTTCTGATAACGCATCCCGAAATCTACTTTATTACTCCATTTTTTAAATTTATTTCACAAAAAAAAAAAAAAAAAAAAAAAAAGATCAAACTTAATACTTGGATATATTGATTGATCCGACTTGATTTCATGTTTTTGGGTGTGATATTTTGCAATGAGAACTAGACATTGATAGGGTTAGTGATGAAGTACTGTTGGGAGGTTAGGGGTGAGGGTAAATTGTATTTAACTAAGTTAGTTGGTTACATTGGTATAAGGTTTAGAACTTTGATTATTTACTAAAAGCCCTAAAATATGGTTATTGAATTACAAACTCAGAAAACAAAATAGTAAACACCCCTATGGCTAATTTAAGGTCCATCAATTTCAAAGCCTAACCTAAGCATCCCTAAGGTTAACGGCCGTCATGTCTTCTTAAACCGTACAAGGGCGTTTATTGTCTTTGTATTCAAAAAATAACTCCTTTTCAAACTGAAATCCACTTTTCTCTTCTATTCTTCGAATCTCATATCTTCACCGGTGACGATGGCGAACGCCGCGAAGCTTGTGATGGTAGCTGGAACAAGGCCGTGAACGTGGGGGTGTTCTGGCTTAGGATTTGTAAGTTTAGATTTTTTTGGTGTACGGCAACAAAGTCTGAATAGGTCATCCATGCCATCACTAAGGGTGGTGATATCGATCTCGCCGACGATGCTTTTCCGGTAGTCTTTTAGATCGTAGGATACTGATTACTCCGAAATTGACGGTGTCCTACCACGCGGCGGATGAGGCTTGAAAGGTGGAAATCGGGTATTTGATTCATTATTTTTGAATTTTGCGTTCAGTTTGCTATGTTATTGTGTTGATTACATTGAAGTTTAAAATTTGCTTTGATTGTAGATTGTTAATTGCTCTAATTGAATTTTAAAATTTAATTTAGCTTGATGATTTGTAGACGAGAAAAAATGGTGTTTTGATTTGCAGAATAGGAGTTTGATGCCAATCTTTTCAAAAGAGCTATATAATTCAACAACCACTCCACTAATTCAATCTTGAGAAAATAAAGGAGATACATACTGTAAACCAGAAACCCCAAAAAAGTGACAATCATAAAAAAGAATAAGACCAAAAAACTCCTAAGAATGGAAAACTAAGGCCCTATTTATTAAATTATTTTGAATCATTATTTTGATATCCTATTTGGATTAAAAAACAGAATATGTGTTTGTTTACTTAGGCCAATTCATTCAAAAAATTAATCCAACTCAAATATGATTTTTTATCTTAAAATGAAAAGTAGGTGATACTTGTTTTCTAGTATCATATTCTATTCAACTTAAAACATTTTTTTAACTCTATTCAACTAAAAACAATTACCTTTCGCTTTTTCAAATCTGAAAATTAATCCTCCCAAGACTATCATCGCTTGCTAGTGACCACTGTCGACTGCTGTGGCTAGAACGACGCACAACCGACCAGATCTGACTGATCATGTGTGAATCTTGCTGTTTCTGGCTAGATCCATCATGGATCTAGCTGAAGACGACCAGATCTACAGCCAGAGATCTGGTCATTGACGTGGCCGTCGTTAACAGCCAGATTTTGGCCGTTAACTATGGTCAGAGATCTAGCCATATCGGCGTACGATCGGCCAAATCCAACCGATCGTGCTAGGTTTCAACGAATGTCGTCCGACGCTAGTGGTCGGTTGTCCTCCTGGGTGATTGGGTTGATTTAGTTAATTTTTAAAGTTTTATTGTGAGGAGTGTTTAACTAAATTAACAAAAATAGGGGGTTAAAAAATATAATCTAAAATATTTTCGGAAAACATACCAAACAACTATTTAACATTTTATCAAACTCTAAACATTCTTTTCGGATATTTTACCAAAGACATTTTCAGAATATGATCCAATTCGATTTAATCCAACTCAACTTAAAATAGTTTTTCAGAATAACATTTTTCAAATAATCTACCTAACAAGCCCATAATATTGAAATTATTATTGTTGTTATACACTGTAGGAGGAGAAAGGGTATTTTAGTCTTTGCATAAGATTTTGCATCAATTCATATAATGCATAATCATTTGTAGCTTCAATGATCAAGTCTATGGGGGTCTATGGTGGTTAGTGGCACCAGTAAGACTTTGATGTGTGGTTAGTAGCGCCAGTATACCAATGATCGATCCTGTCTTGTTCTTCGTTCATTTGATATCAACAATTAGATCGAAATTCTGCACAATAAAATTCATTTATAAGTACATCTACAAGAAGAATATTACCACATATATTGTAATTCTGAGCAGTAAACCCAAATTACTGATTGCCCATTTTTCTGAGTTAAGTTCACAAAAGAAGTTGGATCAATACATCACTTAGTTTTGTAAATGATCCAAATCCTTCATATATATGTTATAAAATTCAAGTTTCTCCTCCATACATGCAAAGCAATAAAGTTAACAAAAGGAAGGAGAAAAAAAGAATTATTAGCTCAAATGTTTTTGAAATTAATATCAAATGATAAACCAATCAAACTGTTAACTAAAGTGTTTAAATTGAACCACATAAATATTTCATTAATATTTACCTAATAAAATGAGGAAGAGAGATTGATTAATTATGCCTAACTTTTGGTTATTTGATAATCTTTCCGTCTAGTTTAATCTTCCGGATATGAGCAATCTTGGACCAATATTCACCTGCTTCTTGTGCGTCAATTCATATATTGCATAATCATTTGTAGCTTCAATGATGGGGTCTATGGGGGTCTATGGTGGTTACTGGCACCAGTAAGACTTTAATGTGTGGTTAGTGGCGCCAGTAAGACTTTGATCTGTGGTTAGTGGCACCAGTATACCAACGATCAATCCTGTCTTGTTCTTCGTTCGTTTGATATCAACAGTTAGATCGGAATTCTGCACAATAAAATTCATTTGTAAGTACATCTACAAGAAGAATATTACCACATATATTGTAATTCTGAGCAGTAAACCCAAATTACTAATTGCCCATTTTTCTGAGTTAAGTTCACAAAAGAAGTTGGATCAATACATCACTTAGTTTTGTAAATGATCCAAATCTTTCATATACATCACTTAGTTCACTTAGTTTTCTGTGTTTGTTTACTTAGGCCAATTCATTCAAAAAATTAATCCAACTCAAATATGATTTTTTGTCTCAAAATGAAAAGTCGGTGGTACTTTTTTTCTAGTATCCTATTCTATTCAACTCAAAACATTTTTTCAACTCTATTCCACTAAAAAAAATTACCTTTTACTCCTTCCAATCTGAAAACTAATCCACCCAAGACAACCACCGTGGCAGGAACGCCGCACGACCGGCCATATCTGGCTAGTCGAACAGCCAAATCTACAGATAGATCTATTTGACTGGTTGATGACGGCCAAATTCTGGTCGTCGTTGATAGCCAGATTTTGGCCGTTAACGATAGCCAAAGATCTGGCCAGAAACGGCCATATCAGCGCACAACCAGCCAGATTCAACCGGTCATGCACGGTTTCGACGACTGTCGGCTGTCGTCTGACGCTGGTGGCTAGCGGTCGACTATCCTTTTGGGTGGTTGGGGTGATTTAGTTCATTTTTACACTTTTAGTATGAGGGGTGCGTAGCTAAATTAACAAATATAAGAGGTTAAAAATAGATTTTAAAATATTTTCAGAAAATGTACCAAACAACTATTCAACATTTTATTAAACTCTAAATATACTTTTCAAATATTTTACTAAAGACATTTTCAGAATCTAATCCGATTCGATTTAATTCAACTCAACTCAACTCAACTTAAAATAGTTTTTCAGAATAACTTTTTTCAAATAATCTACCAAACAGTCCTATATAATATTAAAATTTTATTATTGTTATACACTGTAGGAGGAGAAAGGGTATTTTAGTCTTTGCATAAGATTCCGCGTCAATTCAAATATTGCATAATCGTTTGTAGCTTCAGTGGTGGGGTCTATGGGGGCCTATGGTGGTTAGTAGCGCCAGTAAGACATTGATGTGTGGTTAGTGGGGCCAGTAAGACATTGATGTGTGGTTAGTGGCACCAATATAGAGCCAGGAGTGTTTAGGATTAAAATGAAAACCATCGCATTTTATTTGAAATGTATAATGTTTGAGTAAAGAAGTTAATAATTTCCATGTTCTCTCTACTTCTTTCTCTCCATCGTTTTTGTCTCTTCTTAATTCCTGTTTTGTTGTGAGAACTCTTCTATCATCCATGGAGCTCTCATATCTCTTCCTGTATTTTGTTCTTATTCTTCTCATTCTTGCCGGTGGCATCTGTTTGTTCAAACTCAGACACAATCACAAATCTATAGGTGACCAGGAAAACTTGCCACCAGGGAGCTTAGGATGGCCTTTTATAGGTGAAACTATTGAATTCCTGAAGGCAGAGAATTTTGTGTATGATAGGATGAAGCAACACTCTCCAGATATTTTCAAGACTAAGATTCTTGGAGAAGAAACTGCAGTCATATGCGGTCCAAACGGCAACAAGTTTCTCTTTTCCAATTATGATAATATCTTCACTGCATTCCGTCCCCATTCCATGCAAAAGCTGTTTCGCTCTTATAACAACCATGCTGCAACTCCTGTTAATATTACACGCGATGCAGAAGTGCAAGTCACGAGGGCACCTGGGTTCCTGAAGCCTGAAGCCTTAGTGGGGTACGTAGGCAAAATGGATTCAATAACACAACAGCAAATGCGAATTTATTGGGAAGGCAAAGACGAAGTGAAAGCATTTTCTCTAGCTAAGACTTTAACATTGACTCTCGCTTGTAATTTTTTCATGGGTACTGAAGATCCAGAGCATGTTGCCAGGGTAAACAGGAGTTTTTATGATATAACACTAGGAATGCATTCTATTCCTGCGAATTTTCCTGGAACAAAATTTTATAAAGCAAGCAAAGCTGCTGCAGCAGTTCGCAAGGAGTTAAGGGCTGTAATTGGTGAGAAGAAAGCTGCAATCGCTAGTGGAGAACAGACGGTCGATATACTATCACATATGATTGTAGCTACAGATGGATCTGGGAAACACATGCCTGAGGCTGAGATAGCAGACAAAATCATGGGTTTGCTTGTTGCAGGATATAGCACAGTGGCTACTGCCATGACTTTCTTCGTGAAATATGTTGGAGAGAGACCTGACATATACCATAAAGTCCTTGCCGGTGTGTATTTTTCTTTCTGTGTCTTTTGGGGATTTGCTTCCTTAGTGGGTCCGGTGACTCAACAGACCTAATCTAATGGTCCTCATCACTGCATGGCCGAGTACATTAGCAAACCAATGAGGAAGACTTGCCCCTTTTTTTTGGTTTTGGAGAATAAATTATGTTAAGTTGTGTTGTAAGAGTGTGGGGAAGAATAAGACTCTTGACACTAAAAATCTGAAGAAGGATAGGAATTTGACTTCAGCAGTGCATCAGATTATTTTTTGGATCGATGTTAAGAGTTTTACTTAATTTGTGCCCTTATGACACATTAACACGAACTTGAAAGAATTTGATATATTTCATTTATTATTAAGTTCTTCAAATGTTCTGTTCCTAAGAATTGTTCTCTTAATTTTTTTCTAGAGCAAAGGGAAATCGGAGCCTCTAAGAAGCCTGGGGAGCTCTTAGACTGGAATGATATGCAAAAGATGAAATATTCTTGGAATGTGATATGTGAAGCGATGAGACTGACACCGCCACTTCAGGGAACTTTTAGAGAGGCCTTGACAGATTTCACTTATGCTGGCTACACAATTCCTAAAGGATGGAAGGTAAGGAAGTTTATAATTATGTATATAACTAGTTATAATTACTATAAACTATCACGAGGTACATGAAAGTTATATGGGCAGTGTGTATATCATGTCATCAATACATCTGCCTATTAAATGATGTCATGTATGTATTTTTTTCATTGCACATTCATCTACCTCACCATCACCATGCATATGACTGATAGGTTAAAAGTTATTCCATTTTTCACTAGAATGTTTTTAGATTTATATATAAACGATTTGGTGTGCTCATTCTATCTAAAAATCATGTAAAGTTTTTGAAACCACAATTGTGAAATAGAATATTTTACTTCTGACGCTATATGTCAGTTAGCAACTGACTACTTTTAACTTGTAAATATTTCGTGTTTCATATTATAAATGTGATGTAAATATAGAACAATGATTCTCGTAATCGCAGAGCCTACATTGCAGCAAAAAGAGTACTTAATTCACATGACCTCGAATATATTTGTCAATTTGTACTTCATGTGTTTAATTTATGCAGGTATATTGGACTGTAAGTACAACAAACAAGAACCCAAAATACTTCCCAGATCCAGAAAAATTTGACCCCTCAAGACATGATGAAACAAATAGCTTCCCAGCTTACACATTTGTTCCGTTTGGAGGCGGCCCTCGGATGTGCCCAGGAAAGGAGTATGCTCGGTTAGTAATACTCACTTTTGTTCACAATTTGGTGAAGAGATTTAAATGGGAGATGGTGCTTCCGAAGGAACGAATTATAGGTGACATGATGCCTATCCCAGAAAAAGGACTTCCAATTCGTCTTTACCATCACTAAATGTACATGTTGAAGTTTTCACCATAGGAATGGTTGTCTCTGTGAGGATCTAGTGACAATATCATGTCGGTATTGATCATTGGATTGATATTAGTTCGGGCAAATATTGAGTGTTACCCTTTATGCCAAAACTCGTATTGATATTAGTATTGCAGTTAATAAGTGACTGAGATCATAGGAGCAACATCACGTGCATTAATGTTGCTGTTGCTGGCAAGAAAGCCCAAGTAGAAAATGTGAAACTAAGGTTGATTAAACTGCAGCATCCTCATGCCAAACAATATTTGACAAGGCCTTTGTTTTTATGATATTCATGAAGAAACTTGGTTGCTGAGATTTTATATGACTACTATTATTGTTAAATTCTCTGGGATGCTCTTACCTTCTGCATCATAATTTTCTCTTTTTAAGAGTGACCGCAATAGCAACGATCAACCCTGTGTTGTTCTTCATTTGTTTGATATCAACAGTTAGATCGGAATTCTGCACAGTAAAATTCATTTATAAGTACATCTGCAAGAAGAATATTACCACATATATTTTAATTCTGAGCAGTAAACCCAAATTACTGATTGCCCATTTTTCTGAATTAAGTATACCAAAAGAAGCTGGATCAATCCGTCACCTAGTTTTGTAAATGATCCAAATCTTTCATATATATGTTAAAAAATTCAAGTTTCTCCTGCATACATACAAAACAATAAAGTTAACAAAAGGAAGGAGAAACAAAGAATCATTAGCTCAAATGTTTTCGAAATTAATATCAAATGATAAACCAATCAAACTTTTAACTAAAGTTTTTAACTTGAACCAAATAAATATTTCATGAATATTTACCTAATAAAATGAGGAAGAAGAGAGATTGATTAATTATACCTAATTTTCGGTTATTTGATAACATTTCTGTCTAGTTTAATCTTCGGGATAAGAGCAATCTTGGACCAATATTCACCTGTTTCTAGTTCACATCTTTCACTTAGTTTAGGACAGTCTTCAATTATTAGTTCTCTCCAAGAGATGAGATGTTCATACCCTTGAGTAAAGATGACAATTTTGGACACTTCTTGATACCAAGAACTTGAAGTTTTTGCATTGAATCTTGTAATGCCTTCAAGTTGGAACAATTTCGAATATCCAACCTTTCCAAAGTGTTAGTGGAACACTGAAGAAGCCATCACGGGAATTCCACCAATTGTGGTAATTCTTTCATATAAAGTAATTGAAGGTGAGGTCATCTACTACTGTGTTCATCATGCATGATTGTCTTACTTATCCGATCCTATGCTCAATCAAGATTAAGCCTTTCACAACGAAATAAACGAAGATCTTCTAATGAGCTTAGGCTTCTTAGACCCAGTGGTAATGAGATAAGACTTGCACATTCAGAAATCCATAGAGTTTGAAGAACTCTTAGGTGACTAATATCTTCAAACAGATATTCTAAATTATTGCAATTGGAAATCAACAACATAAAATGATTTCCAATTAGAACTTTGAGACAATAAATTCAAAAAGTGATTCACTAATACCATTACTTTCACCATTTTTCCCACTCATTAATGGCAAGAAAGCTAGGTTTCTCAGATGACCCAAGTTAGGTAAAATGTTTGGAACACCTATTTCAGTTGCATCAACAACATGAGATGACAGATTTCGATAAGTTTTGGAGCAAATTTGATTACTTGACTTCACTACTAAGGGCTCATTTCTCATCGGTGATGTGGCAAGATCATGCATGAGATCATGAATTTTAAAACAGTAGAAATTCTCTTAAACTTGGAAAATAGATCTTGACATTAATTCTTTTAAATATTGCATGCCAATATTTTCCAAATCTTGATTTTCATTGTGGGATTGAAGAAGCCCATGGGCCATCCAAAACAAAACCGAATCAGTACTATCAAATTCATTGTCTTTTGGAAAAATGGAACAAGGTTGAGATATTGTTTTTCTGGCCCTTCTTTAAATGCATATTTAACTAACAACGATAAGCATTCTACAAGAGAAAGACCTCTTAACTGTATGCATTTACTGTTCCCATTATTAAGCCAACACAATCACTATATGTGTTTACTATAATTTTACTTCCACTAACAAGTTTAGTTAATAAACATTTTAGTTCAAACCACAACTCATATTCTTCATTCCAAACATCATCCCAAAACTAACAAATATTTGTCATGGCATAAGATATCACGTAGGATTTTTTGCAACTGATCTATACTCTTATGAATATATTTTTGCCCAGTTGTAAAATCAATGATGTCAATTAGTAGTTTTTTTAAAAGCAAACTCATCTGACTCACATACCCACATTTTCAATTTAAAATATATGTCCATTTTATCATTATTCACAAATTTGGCAAGTGTAGTTTTCCCTAGACCCCTTATTCTGACAACAGGAATGACATAAACATTTTCATGACCATCACTTAGATGCAATAATAGTTTTATAATCTCCTCTTTATCTTTATCTCTACCAATAACATCTGAAACACACACGAACGAGTGGGTTTCCCTCTCTCTAATTACAATATAATTTCTTAATTACAAGTTTGAGTTTTCAGGTTGGCAATTTTGTTAGGATGTAAAGTCAAAAGGGTATTGTTTGCCACTTATCAAACCTGTGACGACTTGTTTGTAATTGTGTTGAAACGGTGTAGCTTTGTTTACAACCGTATTAGTTAATTGTACAACTGTTTTTCACTTTACTCTTTACTCTTTACATATAAAAGAGTAAAGTGGGCTAGCTTTATAATGCAATGAATCAGTAGCTCATTTTCTCGAAAATATCCCTAATTCGTTCCAGAAATCTCTTGATTCTTTTACTCCTTTTCATGGTATCAGAGCCGTGACTACTATCAAATGGCTAAGACTCCTGGTTCGACTCCTCTACCTCACAGCCTTGAGGAAATGCTGAAAAAAGCTTTAAATCGATCCACATCTGCAATTGCTTCAAGCCTACCAGTGATTAGTCCAAAACTCACTCAGGATAATTATAGATTTTGGAGTTCACAAGTCCTCTTTGTAGTAGGTTCGCACGAACTCAAAGATCACTTGCTCGATAAAACTACATGCCCTCCTCCTTTAGTGTTGTCTGATTTGAATATGGAGAATGAATTGAGTCAACTTAGTGGAGAGCTTAAGGTTAAGAAGGATTCTATCAAAGACAAAATTAATCCAAATTACATCATATGGAAGAGAACAAATAAGTTCCTAGTTAGTTGGCTATTAGCTTCCATTTCAGAGAGTATGTTTTGTACTATATCAAAATGAAGGTATTCCACTGATATTTGGAGAGTTTCAGAGCATGAGTTTGTTATAGATTCAAAAGCTAGGGCATTGCATCTTAAAAATCTGTTATAAACAACTCAAAAGGGCAATCTGAGCATTTTTTAGTATATTAAAAAGATGAAAGAGATTAGTGAGAGTTTATCGGCTAGTGGTATGATTATATCTGATGAAGATCTGTTGTAGTATGTTTTGGATGGTTTGGGTCCCGAATATGATCCTATAGTGGTGAATCTTACATCTAGGCTTGAATCGAAAATAGACTCAATTACACTCTAAGATGTACAATGTTTGCTTCAAAAATATGAGACTAGATTAGAGAAGTTTAATTTTGTTGGGTATTTGGTTAACACACTTTGGCGTTTAAGTACCCATTTTAAGGTGCAGTGGAATATTACCAAGTTGATTAAGCAATTCCAATTTGAACACATTAAACATAAGTGCAGAAAGTAAAGAACACAGCCATATACATGGTTCGGCTAAATCCACTTTTAGCCTACATCCATGAGACCTTGTCCAGATCGAAGCAATCCACTAAGTCAAAAACACATTACAAGATATAGTTCAAAGCTGATCTAAGTTACAGTACAAAGAACTCTCTGTTCAACTTTACACTTAGCACCACACTCTGAATCCTTAACGTGTAGCATCTTCTTCGGATCTACTCACTACAAGAAAAATGGCTTTCAACGTCTAGCAAAATTAGACGCCAATAATAAAATTTAGACGCTATTGTGCGTGTAAATTTCATAGTCGCCACGTAGTTGCAAAATCACTATCGCATAAAGTATGGGCATCTAAAAAGTTGGTTAGACGCATCTAAAAGGTTGGTTAGACGTGGAAAGTTTTTTTTGGCAACTAGCAAATTAGTAGCTAATTGCTAGTTGAAAGAGTCCCCAGCTTAAACACTAAATGTGCAAGGGTAATTTGGTAAAATTGTATCGCGACTAATCAATTAGTTGCAAAATGTACATTTTAGTGACTAATAATTTGTCGCAAGTGCTAGAAAAATTAGACGCTGAAGGTGTAAGGGTAATTTTGTAAAAGTTTTTTGTGACTATTTTATTAGTGGACGAATTAATCTTTCGGTGACAAAAATTTGGTGGTTAATTCCAATAATTTTAGACGCTGAATGTGGAATTCAAATATGATAAATTACTTTCGCTACTATAAAATTAGTTGCAGAATGTGTTTTTTTGTGAGAAAATAATTAGTGGCAAAAGCATTTCGTTTTTAGTGGGGAAATGTATATACCCAATTTGGTTTCTTACATTTTGTAACTAATGTTTAGTCATTAAAATTAATTTTTGCCATCTAAATAATATATTAATCGATTGTATATGAGTTTTGGAAACTAATTATTTTAGTCAGATATTATTGATTAAACTTTGCTGCAGTATTATTTTTACAACTAATACTTTAATAGCTAATTGGTTAACATTCAAGAGCATTATTTTTGCTCTTTATAAATGACCTAGTTTATACATTCAACATCAACAAAATAATTGACACAATATAAAAATCTGATCACTAACATCAAATATCATATATATATATATATAGTCTACATGGATTTTTATGCCTGATGAGCAATAAAAATCCAAAATGCACTATCATGTGTGCATAACCAAAAAAGAAAGCATGCACCCCACATTTTCATCAATAGCTATCTATATGTGCATAACTAACAAACAAAATGCCTATCCCAT